ATAGAAATTAAATTACTGCTAAACAAAACATACTTCTAATACATCAGAAAAAAAACAGGATTTAATGTGTCAGAGTCTTAAATGCAATACTTTATTGACTCAATCATATACTGTACTGTACCTATAGAGGGTTACGGTATTTTTTAGGTCATTTTGCCTTATGGAGAATAAATATATGGACTTACAGATGATCATTTGCATCAGTAAATACTCAAATCATTAAAACACAGGATGAAACCTCTTCTTAAATGATGCATCAAGGACCAGGAGGTTTTTTCAGCAAGATCCTGATCATTTTCTTTTTCCAGCAATTCCTATGGGAATGTGAAAGTAGATATTTCCACATTCACACACGCAGTGATGCTGTTATTAGATAACACAAGCACATGTCACACAGCCGCAGTGTTTCACACACTGTAAGCGTAGACGTCGCTCGGTACCCTGATGCTGTCAGACAGCTGTGTGTGTGTGTGTGTGTGTGTGTGTGGGTTTGTTTGTTTGTGTGTGTGTGTGAGATTGTAGATAGAGTGTCAATGGTCCATTTGAGAGATGGGTGGAGAATTTGGTTTTGTTTGTGTATGTTTTTTTGACTCTCAAAGCCGTGATTCCCATCCACTTCCATTATATGACTGACAGACTGCAACGGTTGGAGTTAAAAATCTTTGTTTGTGTTCTACTGAAGAAACAAAGTCACCTACATCTTGGATGCCCTGGGGGTAAGCAGATAAACTTCAAATTTTCATTTTTGGGTGAACTATCCCTTTAACTGTACATTTTACCTATATACAAATTATATAACAAATATTTTAAGTTATTCTATCTATCTATCTATCTATCTATCTATCTATCATCCATCCATCCATCCATCTGTCCGTCCGTCTGTCTGTCTGTCTCTGTCCGTCCGTCCGTCTATCATGTGTTCAAATATACAAATATTTAATAATCTCAACTAAAGCAAATGATTGTGAATAGTAAGTTGAGTGAGGGATGAACTGTGGTGATATTCAGCGTTAGGAAAGAGCTTTTATCTCATTGTTAACTCCGGCCGTGAACAGAGAAACGTCAGCGTTATTGAATGCAGCTCGGCTTTCTTCATTAGTCAGCAGGGACCATTAATACTTCATTTAAAATCTACACATAAAAGAAATGATGCTCAGTAAGGCCTTCAGATGTAAAGAACGCTCAAGAGATCAAAACCCAGTCAGGCCTCTTTTATTCTTTCAGATTGCAGTCATATCAAAAGATCATGGTCATCACTGACCTCATACTGAATTATTGATGCTCGTTCAGTGTTTTACATTTATTATTCCATTAAGTCGAAGCTGAAAACTTTCACTCTTGTTCGGTTTTAGTTGAGTCTGAAGTGTGTCTTTTATCTCACATGCATCTGCTGATAGCGTTTACAGTGCTCTGAAATGTTTCAATGCCAAAAACCGTGATCACAGTAAGGAAATGCTCAACTGTAAAGTCATTTTGTCTGTCTTCGTCTTGAAATGTTCACTCTCGCTTGTTGTTGTTCACAGCGTATGACGCTAAAGTGCCGGGTCGTCCCAGCGTTCCTCAGGAAAACTCCTCTCCCAGTCATTATTCTGTCAAACTGCAGCCGGAGCAGCCTGTCATCACACACGTGAGCATTTCCTCCCACCTCCTCATTTTTGCATCTGATTGGACGATCAAACAGAACTCTGGGTGTCAGTCTTACATGACGAAACATATTAGGGCTCTAAATCAGGATTTAGGTCATGACACTGCTTTTTAAAAGTGTATTTGTTTGCTAGAATATCAATAATTTCAAGTCAGGGCGCATGCACACCGGGGCCCCTATTTGGTTTTGATGTGCTTACAAATAATGTAAGATAAATCACATCCAAATTGATTACAGACATGAGCTTAAGATATCAGTACAATATAAAGCGAAGAGAAAAAGTTTTTTTTTAAATCCCACACACTACCGTAGCTTGTAACCTTTGTCAAGCATTTCATAATTTCACAATGCTTGATGAAGATCACATGACTGACACGTTAATAGTAATATATTGGATAATAAATATGAATTATATTGTGTTTGCAAGCTACAGTAGTGTGCAGTAGGTACTACTAGGTATATAGTAATATAAAATAAAAAATAAAGGAGATTCACAGGAAATTTGAGATTTGATCATTTAACATATATAGAGATATTTTAATATATATTTAAATCTTGAATTTCTTGATCATTTTTGTTTATTTGAAAATCTAAAACAAAATGTTCAGTAGAATAAACCTACGTAAGGCTTACCTATAGTTGTGTATTAAGTTTAATAATAAGATATGCTGAGAAAAAGAAAAAAAAAAATCTTCAAGAAATAATATAAAGATATTTTCAATAACATTAGTATTATTGATGGCATGTTTCATAGATGATATTTCAGAAATGTTGAGCTTTAATTATAATTCATTATATTCTGCTATGTAAAGGCTTTTAAAAACTACAGTCGGTTCCTTTTAAATAAAAAGCATTCAGAAGCTCTTTTTCCATTATTGACTGATAAACAAGAGCCTGCTGCTTCCTTGACATCAGTGAAAGGCATACATAATTGAAAAATATTTTCATCTTCAGGCTTTTCAGGTCTCCTCAGACAGTTGTTTTTCTCATTCAGGTTGCGTCTGTGGAGCGGCTGGTGGAGCGCGTGGAGGTCGATTACTCAGACGACCCCTGGAGGATCACAGAGGAGCAGCGTGAATACTATACCAACCAGTTCAGGAGTCTCCAGCCTGACCTCAGCGCTCTCATCATGGGTAAGAGAGATCTGCACCACAAACACATCTGAGATCATCTATTTTTTTTATCCGATTTATGACTTTATGTGAACACGTTTGAAGTTTGCTTTGGTTTTTCTTTCAGGAACTGTTGCAAAAAACTTCTTCACCAAGTCGAAGCTTTCGATTCCAGAGCTGTCTCATATATGGTGAACATAAAACCTAAGTTCCTCTTAAACATGCAGTGAACCGTCTCTTTGCATTCAAACAATCTTGTTTGATCTTCTTCAGGGAGCTGAGCGATGTCGACAAGGACGGCGCTCTCACTTTCCCGGAGTTCTGCACTGCCTTCCATCTGATAGTGGAGCTGTCTCATATATGGTGAACATAAAACCTAAGTTCCTCTTAAACATGCAGTGAACCGTCTCTTTGCATTCAAACAATCTTGTTTGATCTTCTTCAGGGAGCTGAGCGATGTCGACAAGGACGGCGCTCTCACTTTCCCGGAGTTCTGCACTGCCTTCCATCTGATAGTGGCCCGGAAAAATGGTTACCCTCTTCCTGAAACGCTCCCTGCCACGCTGAGACCGGGCTTTGTGGAAGCAGGTGTGGTTACAGCGCCACCATATGAGGTATGAGATCTAAAACTCGCAAAATGCCTACAGTATTTAATGATGTCTAGGTTAAAACTGTCCAGTAGTTCTTATTCAGTATCATGTTTTGCAATTTTGAGAAAGTTCAGATTGACAACTTTGAACTGAGCTCCAAATGCAATTGTTTTACAGGCAACTCTACCTCTTATTGTCTTTGATGACAATATGATGCCTGGAGCCAATCAGCTCGTAAGAAGAGCTTCATTTTACATTTATGCCAAGATCATTATGTTCCGTACATTTCGTTCTGTCCTTTTCTTATCTCTCCTTCTCTCTCCCTTTTGATTGGCATGATGATGATCTGCACACAGTATTGCAAAGCATCAAAACAAATACACAAATACAAAACAAACATGTATGTATGTGTGTATATACAGTATATACTGTATATATATATATATATATATATATATATATATACTTAATTTATGTATGTTGTTTTGTACTATTCTTGTTTACTATTTTTTCTATATGCAGGCAAATGTACAAAATTGATACATTTTTACAACCATACAGGGACTATCAATGATTTAGCAACAGCTAAAAGTTTGTGAATGAATGAATAAAATCACAATAAACCAGTGATGTTATTGTTAACTAAAACAACCATTTAAAAAAAAATGTTAATTGTTAAAAGAAAAAGTGTTTTTTGTTTTTGTTAATTGACAGCTGAAATTAAATAACATAAATATTAAATGAACATAAATTGAAAAAAAAAAAAAAAAAA